TGCTAGATTTGATAAGTGTGCACCACACCTAACTCACTAGACTCACCTAGGTCAAGCTACTAGTCCATACCCCGTTAATAGTACGGCTAAAGGAAAGAACAAAGTCCTAAATTACTCTAAGTGTCTCTTCAACACCAAACGACACTTAGAACTAGTCCATCCTTAACCTTGTCGTCCATCCTTTGAAAACCAAAATGATTTCCATCGTAGGGGCATGACAACCATGATTGCCCAATTAATTGCCATTACCATGACCTAACTGAAATTGCCTCTGCAAAACACACGTTAGTCATAGTAATCTCGTATTGTCATTAATCACCAAAACCCAACTAGGGGCCTAGATGCTTTCAGAGCAGCTTGATAGCACACCAATAAGACGTAGCAAGATCTGACCACCAAGGGAGTCCCCAGCTTAGCTGGTAAGCCCTCAGCGTAGCTGACAATGAAGCGACGAACAATCCAACCAGTTGGTTGGCGAAGAAACGAGCGCCGAGCAGCCCAATCAACTGGTCGGTGGTGAAGTGAGCGTTGAGTAGAAGTGACTGACAAACAGTCCGATCAACTGGTCGGTGACGAAGTCCATAATCCTAGCAGTCCGACCAGTTGATCGGTGGAGAAGTTCGAGCACTAGGTGGTCTGACCACCTGGGTGATGATCCACCAAGGGCTGGGGACTCTTACACGAAGAACCTAAACGTCGAGGAGTCCCCAGCGTAGCTGACGATGAAGTACATGCGATGAGCAGTCCAACCAACTGGTCGGCGGTGAAGTGAATGTCGAGCAAGAGTGAGTTCCGAGCAGTCCAACCAGTTGGTTGGCGGTGAAGTCCACCCAATAGGTGGTCCGACCACCCAGAAAATGATCATCTTGTCCAGTCCCTAAGCGTAAGCTCATTGACCGAGCCATGCCCCTACGAAACAAATGTATACATGAAAGAAAATCATTTGGTGAACAAACTTGGAGAAAATAGTTCGGAGAAATATCATGGAGATATATGAAGATTGGAGAATATTTAGAAGAATATTAAAGCATGACTTAGCTTGTGTGAGGTCAAGCGGAGGCGGCGATCGATCAGCTGCTGGAGAATCACTCCATGGATGACATACATGTATATGCATGCATTGCTTCAATCTAGTTAGCCTACCATATGTAGATCGAGTATGCCCCCTTTTTCATTGCTAGCTTGCGTGGTGATGCAGATTGGACGTGGCCTTGGTCTTCGTGTTGGAAACGTAGATGAGCAGCAGCCGATCTGATGCAGCTTGGCGAGTAGACGAGCCGCAGGGAAAATCACTGCGTAGGTGGCTTGTGTCGTTCATGCATGTATATGCATGCTTGCTTGCCTTTAGGGTCTCTGCTAGCAAATCTTACTGATGTTGTGCCTTTCATGGTCGTGCAGCTCCTTGTTGTCGGTTGATCGACTCCATCCATGCAGCTCTCGTGGCCGATTGCTCGACTCCATCGCAGGCCGTCTAAGACTAAACCATGAGATTACATTATGGTGTCGCCGTAGGATGTGTCGACGTGGAGTCTCATTAGGTTGTCGAAGAACACCGCCGCATCAGGACAAGTTGTCGCAAAACAACGTTGATTTTGGGATCCCATCTGGTTCGCTGAGGATCAGCACGCACACCCCCTACCTGGCGCGCCACTGTCGACGAAATCTGGTCGGCAGTCTACCAAGGGGTATACCCATGATAGTAGATGAATTAGTGGAGGTGCGCGTGATATGAGCCATATGGTAACAGAGACACAAGACACAAGATTTATATAGGTTCAGGTCGTCAGCATGACATAAAACCCTACATCCTATGCTCTGTTATTTTGTATTGATTGTGTATCAGATTCGATATATCGTCTAGGGGACCCCTGCCTCTCCTTATATACTCTAGAGGGGTAGGGTTACAAGGAAAATATCATATTTGGTATTATACGATAAATCACATCTTCATGTAGTCTTGCGATGCACGCCTTGATCTTGTGGGCTGGGCCACCTTTGATGGTGCGGCCCATGTCTTGTCTTATGGATACCGGGGGTATATCCCCCACAATCAGGCAGCTGTAATTCATCATCGGTGGACACATCACTTCCATCATCACCAGCAATGCCTTCACTGGACATCCTTGCCCTGCCTCTGTTTTTAGTACATACCTTCTTCCCTTTCACTACTACTTCGTCTGTCACCTCTTCATCAACATTGTCCATGAATAAGTTGTCATCATCAGTTTCAACCTCATAGTCTGAATCCATAAAGTAATTGTCTTGCTCACTGTCAGTCCCACCAAAATAATCTGGTTCACTTCCACTTGGCCCAGGGCCACCTTGTACATTAGGAGGTCCTATTTTGGGTATGTCAGCATAAAAAGATGACAGCTTCTCACCTTCCTTTCTTGGAATGTATGTCTCCTTCTGGGGGCTAATTACCTTAGGCAGTGTGTTAATTGGTTTGGCTACAACATCATCACAATTCAGACTATCCAGGCTGTTTTCATGATCTAGATACACCACAAAGTTCTTCACTCTATGTAGTAAAGAAGCCATTACTAGTGTGTCTGAGTCTTCAAAAACCAACCTGAGCCCATTTGCCATAGTCTTGCCAAGAAGCAACCAGTGAAACTTGAGATCTAGATTCCTTGGATAATTAAGCTGAAAAGCAAAATCCTCTAAACATATCACAGACCATGTATCCACCTCACAATGATCAAACCAATTCACTTGCTCATTGAGATACGCTTTGTTGGATCTGTGCCCAACAAAAAACCCACCATGGTGGACTTCAACTGTGAACTCGTCATCAGCATTGCCTACATTGCGCAACCAATCATCAGAAAACCCCAAATCAGCCGCCTAAAATCAAACAAACCAAGAAACACTAGTCGGACACTACAACACATTCTGAAACAAACAGACATCTACACCCAGATTGGTTCATCCTACGGCAATCTAAATCAAAGATTACGACTTCCATACACTTACTGTATTCTGGAGGTGGCTCCCTTTTCTGGCACAACCTAGCCACCATCGTCGAGATTCAGCGTGATTGGAACTGGACCCCGAGGTCCAGCACCGCCCTGCACCTGTCTTCTCCGGCATCGGCTTTCGCGTCACCGTCAATCCTCGGAGGCCGCGGGCTCCTTCCTTCGCTCGCCTCCTTCTCTTCCAGACGGCGCGCTCGAGAGATTGGGCGTGGAGGGGAATGAGACGGAGAGACATAGCCAGGGGGTGAAGTGCGAAATTTACCCACACTCATTGCGGGCAAGGTGTATGGGCAGCCACCGTGGACAGCCACGTAGGCTACAAACCTAGTTCCTACTTAGAATGGACCCACCGTGGACTAAATAGAAAGATTAGGGACCTAAAACTATACTTTGGAAGGTGATGGACCTAGATGACACAGAGGCAAAAGGTAATGAACTGTGGTGCATTTTTGCTCTTTGATAATTGTAGCTGATCAAAAAATATACATGTTATCAATTAGATTTGTGAGATAAAAGCGATGCTACAATTTACGCCCTATTCTTCGGCACTACTTCAGCAGTACTTTTCAGCGGACAAACAGTGTTTTTCTCTCACAACAAATCAACATTAGCCAAATTTCAGCGAAAACAAACAGGGCCTTACTATTATGAGTTCACGACACTGCCGGATTAGTGGGCGTATGAGGTCTTTTTTTTCTTTGGTTACAATGCATGAAGCATGACCATATTTATGGATGGCGGCAAGGGTATTCTCTAGTATTTAATGGAGTACCCATGATTAAGATAAAAAATATATATCTAGTATATAAGCATAAGTCATTGCCTAGTTAGACAACAAACTCACATAATCAACTAGCCTACTATTGTCTGCGATATTGAAGGAAACTAGACAGATGAAAAATGAATTTAGAATAATGACTTATACGAAGAAATAAAATATTATAAATTAGTGGTAGTGAATTGTGTGGCACATTGACGTTGACAACAAAATACTTGTGTGTCTTGCTGACGTAAATTTAACAATTACATGTGCTAGTGGATTTTAAATGCATGTGATAGTGCATCGCTGAGGTAAATAGCTCAAATATTATAGATAGTGAGGTTTAATATTATAAACTATAAGACATAGAGATAACCCCAATGGCCAGCTTTCATCTCTATTTGACACCTCGCACAAACTCCTCCGGCTCCCGTCCCAAGTCTAATGCTGGCGCATCTTAACTTATTGTGAAATATATATTTTTATTATAAATATTTAGTATTACATTTACAAATTTAAGGGGTATTTAGATCTAGAGGCTAAAGTCTAGTCATTAAGAAGACTAAACATGAGCTAATTATAAAACTAATTGCACAGGAGTACATAAATTAGCGAGACGAATCTATTAAGGCTAATTAATCTATGATTAGCACATATTTACTGTAGCACTACATTGTCAAATCATTGACTAATTAGGTTTAGAAAATTCGTCTCGTAAATTAATCTCCATATGTGTAAATTTTTTTTTAATGAATCTACATTTAATACTCCTAATTAACATTTAAATATCTAATGTGACGGGACTGAAGTTTAGTTCATAGTATCAAACACCCCCAAACTAAGGATCATTCTATAATCGTGACCTTTTCAAAGCGGAAGTAACTATCGTTCTATTATGGCCTGATTTATCAGTTATGTTATCGTGTTTTTTCTTTTGTAACAATTCAGCTTTAAATGGGAATCAGCTTTAAACGGCTTATGCTCTAGACGGCTTATCAGCCGCCGCAGAAGCCACCAATCGAACGTGTTAGAAGTAGCCCAGAACAACAGTATTTCAGATCCACATGTTGCGGATAGCGCCAACGACCACTCGCTCACTCTGAGCGGAGTACAAACACGCTCAAGAAAGTCAAAGCCAGATCTGGAGTTCTGCAGTCTGCACCGCTCTCTCTCACTCATCGTCATCGACCCCCACCACCGTAGTCGTATAGACGTGAGACGCCAAAATCCCAAATCTGCTGCGAACTTCCTAAACCTAAGCGATGGCGGCATCGCCGTATTTCCTCCTCCTGCTCTTCCTCTTCCATCCATTAGCTGCAATCTCCTCCCTCGCGCCGGCGCGTTCTCAGGCACCGCCGCCGCGGGTGCCTCAGAAAGTGCAGGTGTGGCCCAAACCGGTGTCCATCTCGTGGCCGCTGGCGGCATACACGCCGATCTCCCCGTCGTTCAGCATCCGCGCCTCCCCGTCGCACCCGTCGCTCCGTCACGCCATCGCGCACTACACCCGCCTCATCCGCACCGAGCGGCACGCGCCGATTATGGCCCCCGTCAACTACACCATCGTCGGCGTCCCCATCCGCCTGCTCGCGGTCTCCGTCTCCGACCCCGACGTCCCGCTCGGCCCCGGCGTTGACGAGTCCTACACGCTCTCGGTGCCACCCAATTCCAGCTCCGCCGACATCTCCTCCGCCACGCCCTGGGGCGCCATCCGCGGTCTCGAGACCTTCTCCCAGCTCGCCTGGAGCAGCGGCGCCGCCGCCGCGGGCGGCCAGCCGATCGTCCCCAGCGACATCGAAATCTCCGACCGCCCCCTCTTCACCCACCGCGGCATCCTCCTCGACACCGCACGGAACTACTACCCCGTCCGTGACATCCTCCGCACCATCCGCGCCATGGCCGCCAACAAGCTCAATGTGTTCCACTGGCACATCACCGACTCCCAGTCCTTTCCCATCGTCCTCCCCTCCGTCCCTAACCTCGCCAACTTCGGCTCCTACTCCCCCGCCATGCGCTACACCGACCAGGACGTCCGCCGCATCGTCCGATTCGCCGAGGCCTTCGGCATCCGCGTCATCCCTGAGATCGACATGCCCGGTGAGTGAGACCTGATTCCAAAATACTGTACTGGATCCTGCATTTGCTCTTTTCTATGGTTGCAATCTTCAACGCAAAGACTTCAGGGCACGCGGGGTCGTGGGCGGGCGCGTACCCGGAGATCGTGACCTGCGCGAACAAGTTCTGGGCGCCGACGGCGAAGCCGGCGCTGGCAGCGGAGCCCTGCACGGGGCAGCTGAACCCGCTCAATCCCAAGACGTACCGCGTGGCGCAGGACGTGCTGCGCGACCTGGCGGCCTTGTTCCCGGACCCGTACCTCCACGCGGGCGCCGACGAGGTGAACACGGCGTGCTGGGAGGACGACCCCGTGGTGCGGGGCTTCCTGGCGGACGGCGGCTCCCACGACCGCCTGCTGGAGCTGTTCCTGAACGCGACGCGGCCGTTCCTGGTGCACGAGCTGAACCGCACGTCGGTGTACTGGGAGGACGTCCTCCTGGGGCCCAAGGTGTCGGTCGGGCAGACGGTGCTGCCCCACGACACCACGGTGCTGCAGACGTGGAACAACGGCGCCGAGAACACCAAGCGCATCGTGGCGGCCGGGTACCGCGCCATCGTGTCCTCCGCGTCCTACTACTACCTGGACTGCGGGCACGGCGGCTGGGTGGGCAACGACAGCCGGTACGACGTGCAGGAGAAGGAGCACGACGGCATGCCGCTGTTCAACGACCCCGGCGGCACGGGCGGGTCCTGGTGCGCGCCCTTCAAGACGTGGCAGCGCATCTACGACTACGACATCCTGCACGGGCTGACGGAGGACGAGGCGAGGAGGGTGCTGGGCGGCGAGGTGGCGCTGTGGTCGGAGCAGTCGGACGCCACAGTGCTGGACGGCAGGCTCTGGCCCAGGGCCTCCGCCGCCGCCGAGACGCTCTGGTCCGGGAACAAGGGCTCCAACGGCAGGAAGCGGTACGCCAACGCCACAGTCCGGCTCAACGAGTGGAGGCATCGCATGGTGGCGCGCGGTATCCGCGCCGAGCCAATCCAGCCGCTGTGGTGCCCGATGCACCCGCGCATGTGCCACCTGTCGCAGTAGCAGCATCGTAGAGATAGCTTTGCTGCTTCCTGCAATGGACTGAAACTGGATATGCAGTGCAGGGAGTGATACAGGGGCAGACAGGGAGTCGGAACTTGGTGCAAGAACCTTCGGCATCGATCTTCGGTTCCGAATGAATCAAGAACACAATAAAACCAACGCATCCCCAATGTGACATGACCATCTTTTGGTTTCATCTTGGTTTGCTCATTCGTGTCACGAAGTAACAGGTGCATCATTAGCTCTGCACTAAAAACTTCCCAACTCCCAAGTTAAACGAAATTGGAAAAAAAGAATCGTTAGTAAATTTTCTGTTGGCTTGTCCAATAATACATGAGTGGCACACATGTACTTGATACTCGACTTGATTTAAATCCAACGTCTCTGGAGATGAATTTATGGTGCAAAACAGAAATGACGATGCTGTCCCTGGTAGCTTCACGGAGTTTCCTACTCTTGCTGCAGTTTACACCTCAGCACCTCACTGTCCAGCCAGCATAACAGCACTCGAAAATGCATGATGCCCCTCGTTGTCGTTGTTCGATCAGATATCAGAAGATTTGGGACCCTAATTAGTGGCAAACCATTCATTCAGTCGGTTGGTTGCAGAATGAGTAGTCATGAAGATTGACGAAACAGTATTTCTTCAAGAGATCATCAGCATGGCAGGACCCGGCCCCTGTTGTTTGTGCTCATTGGTGGCGTGGCCATCGTAATAGCGTCCTGTCATGGATTACCATGAAGGCAGTGTCCTGCTGGTTATGATGATGGCACTTGATTTGGAATGGATGGTGAAAACGAAGTGTGGTCATTTTTTATTACCAAATATTGTGGTCTAGACAAGAGATATCAGATCAGCAGCTCAATTTCCACATTCGACATAGACCTTTGGACCAGTACACGAAAGAAGAAACCCAAACAGGCAAGGATATAACTTATGTGTCAGACAGAATGTGAATTTTCCCCCCAACAAGGATATATGCGACAATACAGATTTCACCGAAAACAGTCATTTTCCACTTAAACGGGAAAAAAATCCAGCGCCACAAAAACGTGGAATTCTTGCACTTGTTTAACCCTGTCGCAGCAAAAAACTATGACAAGATTGCCAGGAAATAATTCCAACACTGCTGCCATTTTGCCACCATAGCATAGCAGACAGATTGGAGTTGACGATCATCATCTCCAGTGCCGTAGGCCCTAAACAGTAGTCATCGCAGCAGTAGTTGTTCACAGCTCCACCTAGTGATTTTTGTCCCTCCGGGTCGCTTTCCGTCCGACGTGTGTAGTGCAGCGCAATCCATCGGTCGCTGTCTGCTTTCTGAAGAACGTTCCGGTTGACGCCGCTACGCTGCCTTGTCCTCTTTTCTTCCCTTCTACCCTGCCGCACGCCCTGATTCCGTGCGCAGTGGTTCAGACCTTTTCGGTCCTCAGGCTTCTTCCCTGCGCAGAGATAACTGCTTCGGAACTCCAGAGGTAGAGCGAGAGGGCGTCAGGAAGGGAGGGAGATGAGAGAGACCATCAGCATCCATATCGGGCAGGCGGGCATCCAGGTAGGGAATTCTTGCTGGGAGCTCTACTGCCTCGAGCACGGTATCCAGCCTGATGGCCTCATGCCCAGGTGAGGTCCTTTTCCGTTCCAATTTCCGCACTTTCAGTTTATCTCATCCATCCTTCAGAGTTCTGTCGATTTTTGATCTATTTGAGATAATTCTAGCTCAGATAATTATTTCAGATAGGGTTACCTTCTGGGTTCTTGTAGCAGTAGACTCAAAAAGGTTGTATTTTTTGGAGATAATCCTGGAATATTCATAATCCTGAGGACAATCTTTACTCGTGGATAACAGCCCGAAGTAAAAGCTAGAGAAACTTTGTTGGATGCTCTGACCTCTAAAAATATTTTCTTACGAGTTGATGACACCCCTGCGTTCAAAACCACTTTCTTAAAAAGTTAAAAAGGGACGTGATCGGATAAAAAAAAACCCTGCATATTAAAGAAGCTCATGTTTTCTGAAACAAGGAGGATAAGCATGTGACATGCTAGTATGCTACCGATTTCTGTGTCCAACTCACCTATTTTACAGCATCCAATTTCTCAACCTTGGCTGTTTGCTTGCAGTGACACTTCTGTTGGGGTTGCGAGGGATGCATTCAACACGTTCTTCAGTGAAACGAGCGCAGGGAAGCACGTTCCAAGGGCCTTGTTCGTCGACTTGGAGCCCACTGTGATTGACGAGGTGAAGACCGGGAAGTACCGCCAGCTTTTCCATCCTGAGCAGCTCATCTCACACAAGGAAGATGCTGCAAACAACTTTGCCCGTGGACATTACACAGGTGTGACATGTTGTCCCTCACCCTGAGCCATTTCCTGGAGAACGGAAAATGTTTTTTGCAATTTAAAATGCAATATTGAATTGAGTACAATAATTATTGGGGTTTGAAAGCCCTATCTTGAATTTTGGTGCATTGCAAATGCGTAGAGAACAAATTTGTGTGTTTGAATAGTACTAGCAAGTGGCAGGTAGAACTAATCCACTACAGTTTGGATATTATATAGGGGCAGGATCTTATAATTTAAACATTCAAGATTCAACCATCCTATGACATGATTTCTGTAGTATTATCCATGACTTCATATCATACAAGAAACATCACTTCCTTTACCTGGGGCACTTATTTTTAAAAAGATCACAATGTTTTGGAACTGTTCTCTGCTCTTTATTAATAATAACTATCCTGTTTAGGGATTGAGTAATATCTGAAGTTTTGCAATATGTTTTTCTGCTGCAGTTGGAAGAGAAGTAGTAGATCTTTGCCTTGATCGGATAAGAAAATTGGCAGACAACTGCACTGGTCTTCAAGGTTTTCTGGTTTTCAATGCTGTTGGTGGTGGAACTGGCTCTGGCCTTGGTTCGCTACTTTTAGAGCGTCTATCAGTAGATTATGGTAGGAAGTCAAAGCTCGGTTTCACCATCTATCCTTCCCCACAGGTATCAAAATGATAATTTGTGACCATTTATCTATGCATCATTTGGTCATCATAGTTACTTATGCAGTCAACAAGCCCGCTCGTTTTAACTGGTTGCGGCTGCACTAGCACTGTACTACAGTAGTTTGTAGTTTTGAAGCCGCAGCCGAAAGTAGCTCATGTTTCATTGTGGGCAATTAATTACAGATTGAATTACCGTCTCAAGAAAAGAATTGTAGTATTCAATGTGACATATTAAAAAGAAATCACTTCAATGGTAGATCTGAATCGTGATTTGGCAAGACTACCGATACAAAAAAAGTCCATCTTGTCATCAGTTTTGATATACAAAAAAAGTTCCATGGTGTGAGCGAAGAACATTCATATCAATGTTTATGCCCTGTCAGGCTGTCACCATGAACAGTCATTCTTGTTATTGCCCACATAGTGGTTAATAGTACAATATCTAAATCTGTATGTTTGGGACAAGGGTGAGTAAAAAAAGAGTTAATTTGCAACATTACTATTTACGTATACCTAGCTAAAGGCATAGACTTGCCTTCCCAATCAGATAACAAAAGCTTGCAAAGGAGGTTTACCTGTCATTGTAACGTACAAGAACTCTGTACTGAAACCATTTCCTGTTGCAGATCTCAACTGCTGTGGTCGAGCCTTATAACAGCGTGCTCTCCACACATTCCCTGATTGAACACACCGATGTTGTTGTGCTTCTTGACAACGAAGCTATCTATGACATATGCAAGAGGTCCCTTGACATTGAGCGTCCAACATACACCAATCTGAACAGGCTTATATCTCAAGTTATATCATCTCTTACCACGTCGTTGAGGTTTGACGGAGCCATTAATGTTGACATAACTGAGTTCCAGACCAACCTTGTGCCTTATCCCCGGATACACTTCATGCTCTCTTCGTATGCTCCAATTATCTCAGTGGAGAAGGCCTACCATGAACAACACTCTGTTCCTGAGATCACAAATTCTGTGTTTGAGCCATCAAGTGTGATGGCAAAATGTGATCCCAGGCATGGTAAGTACATGGCATGCTGTTTGATGTACCGCGGCGATGTTGTGCCAAAAGATGTGAATGCTGCTATCCATTCAATCAAGACCAAGAGAGCAGTGCAGTTTGTTGACTGGTATATTCTCACAACTCTTACCAATTTATATAAGATTATAGATTGTCTTCTAGCGAAAAGATAGCTGCACGAGACATGAACATCTTTCTCTGTTGCCTTATTCACAGGTGCCCTACTGGCTTCAAGTGCGGGATAAACTACCAACCGCCGACTGTAGTCCCTGGAGGGGACCTGGCCAAAGTGCAACGAGCAGTCTGCATGATCAGCAACAACACAGCCGTGGCTGAGGTCTTCTCCCGTATTGACCGCAAGTTTGATCTCATGTTTGCGAAGCGTGCGTTTGTTCATTGGTATGTCGGTGAAGGGATGGAAGAAGGGGAGTTCTCAGAGGCAAGGGAGGATCTTGCGGCACTGGAGCAGGATTATGAGGAAGTCGGAGCTGAAGTTGAAGACGATGAGGAGGAAGCTGAGTATTGAGTCATCCCGTCTAGATGCATGGTTATTTTCCTTTGGTATCAGTCAACAAGGCGTGCTTGGGTTGCATGGTTGTACCTCCCATTTCTTTCCTTGTTTGTTATTGCATTACACCTGTTCATGGTTGGCAGAGTAGAAGTGTGAAGATTGGTTGAACTGGTATGATGGTTTGAGATAAAATAAAATAAGTCTTAAAAATGTCACATTAAAAATATATTAGTAGAATTAGTCACAAGAAACATACTTCCATATCGTTATACTATACTCACAACAAATTATGTTATAAACGCTAAAGTCATAAGAGACCATTTTGATAACTTCATATCCTAAACGATAAACAAAAAAAAGAAGGGTCCCTTGTTGTGCAATGCATCGGAAGACATGAGGACCCCTTGGCAATGGGTGAGGATGGATGGCATAGCAGATGCATTTCTTGGTCAATGGGCAACTTATTTCAGTGAGCATATTGACAACAAGACACACCGTGACACTGTGGTATTAATATGAGATGACCATAGGAACAGCACACAACGAAAAGCTAGTTCAGGACATTTATAGGAAATCCACAAGGTATCCATGGAGGCGTTTGGTTCTGTTCACTGAATCTCTTGGTTCAATGGATCAACGGGTGTACAGTTCTTCTTGACTCTTGACTCTTGAGAACGAGAGAAAAAAAATGCCCCAGTTACTCGCCGGAAAATGCTCAACAACAAAAAAGACATCCATGCTATCATATTGGGCCTTATATACCGATAATATTTGTTCAAGTATCGTACTCCCTCTGTCCCAAAATAGAAGTCGTTCTCGCTTCCCGAGAAGTCAGCCTTTTTTAACTTTGACCAATTATATATAAAAGAATATTAATATTTATAATATATAATTAGCATCATTAAATAGGTCGTTGAATATACTTTCATAGTAAACTTATTCGGAGATATAAATGTTGCACACATTTTTCTACAAACCTAGTTAAAGTTGAAAAAATTTGACCTGCACGTATCCCATAAAGACTTTCTTTCTGGTACGGAGGGAGTAATCACTAAATAAGTATGTATGGCCGGTTAATGGTGTTGTATTTTTTTTTTTGTTTTCCTTTATATATCGTCTTATAAAAATGACGGCAAAGCTCTGGCCGTCCTTATACATGCAGAATTGTTTACAAATGACTTATAGTACTAGGAACTGATTTCTGAACTTTAATTTAACAGTATGAAACATTGGATGGGCCGATCGATTCGTCAGAGAAGTACCTATAGTGATAGAAATTTAGAGAGACATTTTTATTATGGGAACAAATAGGAGAAGAAAAAAAGCTACTGCAGCTCCACTTCCAATTAAAAGGTAGGGTTCTAATGAAGATGATAGCGTGCAGGTGCAGACCTGCAATTGAACGGAGGCGGCGGCGAGGAGCATGCCGAACTGCCGATCCAGCGCAGATCACCCCTCATTATCCGACGCATCATCCATCTGCCTCCCTCTCGGAGACGCGAGGCGACCGAGTTGGGAGGCGATGGAGGAGCGCGGAGAGCCGGAGACGAGGCAGCCGGCCGGAGCCCGGCGTTGTGGTTTGTGGAGGGGAAGGGGTTGGTCTGGTCTTGGACACAGGAGATCGGACACTGACACAGTAGGTCCCACGTCTGTATCACCCACGGGCCAACTGGATAGCGACAACTTTTTTTTTTTCGAGACAACTGTCGGTGGTCTTTCTTAGTGGGCCGGATCCATTTTCATGGGCATCCTAATTTCTTGGTGGGCCGGATAGGTTCGTTGGACAAACAGCGAAAAAAGAAGAGAGGCAGGAAGAGCTGACGAAGCCGAAGCTGAGCACGACGGACGAAGAAAAATGGCAGGGAAAGCCGGCGGACTCAAAGGGGTTGCCCTCATCGGCGGCGGCGCCAACAGCACGGTCGCCGGGGCCCTCCACTTCTTCGAGGACCCCTCCACCAGTAGCCGATCTCTCGAGCTCTGTATGACTGTATTCCCTATGCCCGTCGGAAGTCCTACCTCACCTCTTTTCTCTGTTGGTGCTTGCTCTCCTGTGGCTGCTAGGGTACACCGAGGTGAGGGGCAAGGTCACGGGCTTGACTCCGGGAAGGCATGGATTCCACATCCACGTGTTCGGCGACACTACCAACGGCTGCAACTCAACCGGTGCGCCGTCGTCTTTGCCTATTATGGTTGCTTATTTTGTCACTTTTGCTGTCGAATTGGGAATACTACTAAGATATAATAATGAATCGCAATTGTACTAAAGTCTTGAAGCGGCTCAGCTAATCTACCAAGGTGTATAATTGGGGATTAGAATTTCGTGAACTAAATCAGTTGTACAGTAAAGATGTAGCCATATGGTAGGTTTATATTGTTAAACAAGCGTTGTGCAGAATTGCCAGTTATATGTATGTTTGCATTGAACAAGTGTTGTGCAGAATTGCTGGTTATATATATGTATACTTGTTGCTGTAGCAATTATTGTAGGGGTTAGTGCTCCTATCTCTCCAGCAAAAGATTTACTAAACCTTCATCTCATCTGTTACAAATCACAATTGCTAGTGAATGAAACTACTTGAGCAGCTATTGATGAAATGGACAATCACTTAACATTGGTAAAAAATAGAGTTTTGTGAAATTCAATGTTTGCTATAGCTTCTATTATTACTTCATCCTTGCCTTTGTGGTACTCGTGTACTAGAAATTAGAATCCTGCAGCGGCTAGGTGTCAAATGTTACATCATTACTATGTTGGAATTTATCCTTTTGTAACACTAACCATGATCAAGGGATAATGGGATATTGAATGCCTTCTTGAGAAAGCTATATTTGAAGTATATGCCTTAGTATCTCACAATGGTTATGCTATATACAGGCTGATTTCCACCGTTTTTATGCTATTCTGACAAATTTGTTGGCTTCATAGGGCCCCATTTTAACCCTCACAATAAGCCCCATGGAGCTCCATTTGATGAGGAACGACATGTGGGTGACCTGGGAAACATAATAGCCAACGAAGATGGTTAGTACTAAGCCTAGTCTAAGATCCTGGTCGGTACGGGGGATGTATGTTTATGAAATATTCCCTGTATCCTAATAATGCTTCGCATGCTTATTTCAGGAGTTGCAGAAGTGTTCATAAGGGACTTACAGGTTCAGTCATCTTGAAGGATGTAATATAATCCTGTTAATATTGATCAACTGATAACCTATCTCTGCTGCTTTCTGAAGATTTCACTGAGTGGGCCTCATTCCATACTGGGAAGGGCAGTTGTTGTCCATGCCGATCCTGATGACCTAGGGAGGGGTAAGCATTCTTGTATTATCAGTGTTATATTGTAGCTCTTAAAAAATTGAAGATCTCTCCCCCATTGTGCCTTATATGTTCATCATTAATGTAGATGGGACCTTGTCTTTCCTGAAATATTTTACTCCCTCTGTCCCAAAAAGGTCATTTAATTTTGTCAACTTTGACCAGGTTTATAAAAAAAGCACCAATATTTATGATACAAAATACTCCTCCATTCCATATTATAAGACGTTTTGGCTTTTCTAGATACATAGCTTTTACTATGCACTTAGATATACACTATGTCTAGATATATAGTTAAAGTAATGTATCTAGAAAAGCTAAAATGTCTTATAATTTGGAACAAAGGGAGTAAGTATCATTAGATTCATCATGGACTATATATTCATAGTATGTATATTTGGTGCCATAAATCTTGATACTCTTCTCTATAAACATGCTCAAACTTAAGATTGTTTTACTTAGGACAAAACTAGGATGGCTTTCTTTTTGAGACAGAGGTAGTATTGAATGCTCAATGGAGATTTTATTGCCAGCTAATATCAATGTCATTTGTTGCTCATCAAGTGTTCTCATTCAGTCATGGCTGCTGTGGCTTCAAGGTAGCACCATGTTGCAGCATTACCATACCATTTGCTGCATCATGCAGTACTTGGAAACCACGAACTACTAGTCAAAATTTTAATATCTATTTATTTTTTGTACATAAAATTGGCTTCATGAGATCGTTTCCTCCATTGAATCTCATTAGCAGTTACAGTGATAGCATTGGCTAAACAAAATCATTCATAACGGCATAGATGTGAAAAAACCCATTTCCAAAGTTGTCAAATAGTAACACATTGGAATTGAATGCTTATGAGTACTGGCTACAACAGTACAGCCTACAGGTTCAATTGCTACAGATATATCGTTTCAATGCTACAAGTGGAGAAAAAGTTTTTTTTCATGTTTTTATTACCTGTTCTTCACTCATTTTTATTTAACGAGCACTTACTTGTACCTAGTTTAGATCCTTGTTTCCCATTGCCCTGCTGCACTTCGAACATAAGTATTTTAATCCTTGTTTCCCATTTTCTGGAACAATCATCACACTTCAGATTCCTGAATAATTGTTCCAGTGTGAGGCATCCTCACATGTTTAACTGCTCCTGACCATGTTCCTTTAATATTTTGATTTTGAAGGTGGCCATGAACTCAGTAAGTCAACAGGAAATGCAGGAGCTAGAATTGGATGTGGTAAATGCCAAGCCTTTTAAATTTGTAGTGTTGCTAATTATTGGAAAGGGACTGACATTTTTCTTAGGACCCGTTTGGCATAGCTCTAGCACTGAGATCTATGATGGATCTGTAGTTTTTAGACTAATTAAAGTGGTTTAACTATTTTTATTTAATAAAAAATATAAATAAAAATGAGTCATGTAACTACACTTAACATGTCTGCAGCTCTAAATCCAGTATTTCCTAGAGCTATAGGTGATCAGCTCTACAGATTTCCTAGAGTTAGAGCTCTGCCAAACAGGGCCTTAATAACAAGTTTTGAAGCAAGCATAACAAAAAGTTCAAAACTAGAAGTGTAAATGCATAGGTTCTTGTGAAATGGAAGCTGCTTTACGTTGCATAAATAAGCCTTATGATCTTTGACACTTACAAATACATTTGTCAATAACTTGCAGGTATCATTGGAATTCAGTCTTCAGTTTAACAAATAACAGCCTAGTACCACCACAAAAAAAGGGCAAGGCAGTATATGCAGTATGCTGGTGCAGAGACATGGAAATGACGTTCGTTGTTCTGGACCGTTTCAAGACTAAACATTTTATTACCCTTATTGTCTTCAGTCATGTATACAATAATCTTACAGTCAATGAGAGGAAATTGCTAGTAAGATATTGCATAGCCTTATATCACTGGTTATCAGTAGCAATAAGCCTATATGTAAAACTTTTTGGAAGGGAAAGCTAAGGGTGCTGCTTTTGAATTTGTACATCAGCAATGTTTTTATGCTTCCTCTGGAACAAGGAATCGAACGCAAGTCAGCCTTTTGTGAGTACATACTCTGTAGTTCTAACTTGGTCATCTCTTCTTCTCGTTTGTGCCATGGTCAAGTGGCAAACATGGCATTGTTGTCTCAAATTAACTCCGGTTCCACAAGGTAACCAAGGAAACATTTTTTTCTTGTGATGGCAAATTTGGCCATGGATTTACTTACAGTGTCCGCTGATATTCTCGTAAGTGTCCGTCTACTTCACTTGCATCCTATTATCAACTTCAAACTTGTGCTGGATGCCAGTGCTAACTGATTTTTAAATGTTCATTCACTGACCCACCCTATTTTTTTTTATCAGCCTTCTTGTTGCACAGGAATCAAATGGCAGGCATGAGGCAGCTTATGACGTCCAAGCACCAGCCGGCCACTCATCCTTGCGATGTGAGATTACAGTCCCAAGACACTGAACGCTACAGCTTCGTAAGGGAGAAGCAGACAAGAGAACAGGCAACGTCAATACGGCTGAAAGGACGGTAGCTTAGTTTAGCCTCCGCTGATACTGGTACCAAGGTCAGCCCTCGCAAGAAATGCCTCGACGGGAACCGGACACCCGGGAAAACGTCAGGCGCGAGCCGTGCCCGCCCGTTCGACCCAAGCGTGCCCCAAACAACGATGCACGCCGTCTCGGCGCGACGCGCGCACCCGTCGGCATCAAACTGTGCGCTGGACGGGACCGGTCGGCTGAGCCCGAGAGGATCGGAGGACGGCCTTTGGAGCCTTCTCCCTTGGCCCCGGGCGGACGCCGTGCGGGCGCAACGGGATGCCGTGGGGCCGCGACGCCGGCTACGGACACCGCCCGCGCCCCAGCCGATGCCGCCGCGGAGAAGCGGCTCGTGGACTTTCTGCGTTCGAGATGAACGAAGTCACGAGCTGACGCGCCCAGCTCGCGCTACTCGGCACGGAACGGAGGCCCCCGACCACCGCGAACGTGCGCGCGCGCCGTGGCTGGCTCGCTCGTTGGAAGCTTGAGACGAGTAAAGAAAGAAACACGCCCCCGGGTGTCGCGCACGGGCGTACGTGGCCGCGCCCGGGACGCCTGGAAAACGGCTGGGGGCAGCCGGGCGCGCGGGGTCGACTGCGTGCGAGCCACGGCGCGCCTGGCCGGCAACGTCGTCCGTGCGCGACTGGACGGGGCGATACTATTATTATCGCGTGTCCTCTCGCCTGTGCGTCCGTGCGAGCGTGCATGCACGGTTGCCGTGGCGACACCGGCGTTACAGGGCGCGTGTGTCCTCCGTCCGATGCGCCGGGCAGGCAGACCGACCGTTTCTGCGGTTCGAAGCCTGTAGCCTGGTGCTGCTTGACCGTAGCGTCGTGTCTCTTGAGGTACGAGTACGAAGAAGGGACTGGTTGGCCCGTGATTCACCCAGCTCGCATGCATTTTTCTTCTTCTATTTGCCCGCGAGAGATCGGGCCAAAAGCACACGGTACAACGTTCTACATTTCTTTTTTGCTATATGAGCACGTCCTACACATGTACGTGCCAAAAGCTAGTACTACCTAGAAAAGATGTCCGCTCCTAAGGATCCATACGCTTTCAGGATGCAGTATATACTTGCAGTCTTGTAAGCCATAATACTTTATACGTGCATGGTCACATACCAATGCAAGACGAGAATTGATATAACAAGAGTTATAGCAACACAAAGTACTACATAGAAATACAACACGCGTGGGTATGAAAGGAAGAGCAATTAGTCAATTTCGATTCTTGTTTTGATTTCGATTCTTGATTTTTGATTTACGAGTTGCCTCGGAGTTATTCTTCCCAAGATTGAGCTCACTCACACTCTTCTTCATCTTTTGAGATCCTTTGGGAAGTAATCTAAAGGCCTTTTTTTGGACTTGCCCAGCTCTCTAATTAATGATCAAATCCAACTGTGCGACGTGCAGTCGATTATCTAGCTCACATGTCTGGAAAGATGAGTTACACACACTGGTCCACGTAGATACTATGCACACTCATCGTATATCTGTCAGAGCGGCGATGGAGGGAGGACGAGGAATCCAACAAGACTGTATTTCCAGCACGCAGTACCTGGAGCAAACTAAACGAGATGTAAATAAAAAAAAGTATTGTTTTGTGATTTTTCAGTTCATGAGTATCTGAAATTGAGCAAAAAGATGGGACTATTCAGCCGGTGTTTTTAAATTCTTTTGGTTCATTTCTATAATTTTTTCCCAGTTCGCTTCATCTTTTGAGATCCGAGAAGGCATGGACTTAGTGATCTTTCTGTGCGAGTGCAGTCGATTATCTAGCTCACATGTCTGGAAAAACTGGTCCACGTAAAGATGGATACACAGAAATCCCAAGGCCCACACGAAGCAGATCCTGCCTCTAATTTCAATGAAAGGAATTTGCATCACATTTGTTGCGGGAGATCAATGTGATTTTAGCAAAAACAGCCGTCGCAAAAAGAGGATTCAGGATTGCAAATCCCAGATGTAAATCCTGGGACTGTTCAGCCATTTTTCTTTCTTTTTTTCCCAGTTCGCCCAAATGGAGCGAGAAGGCATACTAGTGATCTTTCTCGGACAAAACCAAAGATGATCCAGCCCGGCCCACACGAAGAACTCTGGATCAGAAAGAACTGCATCACTGTTGCGGGAGATCAATTGGAGAGCAGCAGCCGTCGCAAAAGAGGATTCAGGATTGCATCACGCTTATGCTTTGCTACCAGAACTACCAAGCTGCTCACGCCTAGTTTGCTACTACTTCCAGTCAGTTTAAATTTCAGTTTGGATCATCTTGCATGGTTCATCATGGTTCTCTTTGTTTTTTTTGTAAGCTCTCGTAGGAAAGCACAAAGCGTCAACCCTGATCATCTCAAAGCAAAACAAACTTACGCGGAAAAATCAAAAGGTGTTTGGAGAGTAATGGATGCTTTGGGCGTTTCACGGAGTGGCCGACAGGCCGGGTTACGGCAAAAGCTCCAAAAGGCAAAAACCGTCGCGGCTCTCCACGTCACTTTCTTCTTCCTCACCCTCAGCGTTTCAAATTTCTCAACGGTACGTGTGACCTCAGAGGCCTGTCCTAAGTCCTACTAACTGATCATGCATCATCACCCATGGAGCTTTGCTTGCCGGTAAGCTTCTGCGTTGAACTGTGTGTGAGGCCGTGGACCCGATCGTCGTGCTGTCGTGTGACATTGTCGCGTGCTTCATCAACACTTTGAAACGAGTCCAACTATACCCTTGCTGTCGTATGATACACGTACGAGCATTTTTCTTTTTATGCCAAGAGTTTTAAATTTCTGTTCGACGCAACCGCATGCTGAATCGATCGGAAATAATGGTGCAGAACAGTCGACCACGATGAGATCAGCAAAGAGTCCGGTGCAGAAAGGGGTCGATTTTACTCACATTTTTGGGGACATTATTATACATGGCTTCAAGAATATCATAGGCACTAAGTACTGGAGAGAGAGAAAAAAGTTGGCAAAAGATTAACTTAGCATAATATAGCATCGGATTTATGCTGTATGGAGAAAATTCTCCGGTCGCCATGCAGATGCAAAACCGAGATGAGAATCAGATCCTCTGCTGCTGTTGGTAATGGTGGTGGTGCTGCTGGTGGTGGAGCCCGGCGTGCCGACGCAGCGGCTGCTGCACCGGCTTCTGCTTGAACTTGTCGCCGACGATGGATATGAGGCCGCCGAGCGGCGGGCGCATCTTGGCGCGGTAGGAGATCTCGTCGTAGGGCCGGCGGTAGAAGCGCAGGTACGGGAGGAAGGACTCGCGCTCGCGCTCCACACGGCTGGCCTGCCCGTCCTTCCGGAACGCGAACAGCATCGACGGCGACTGCAGGAACGACGGCCGCGGCGTCCGCGGGAACTGCTGCGGCTGCTGCACTGGCGTCGGCGGCGGGGTCTTGTTGGGGCCCTTGGCGGCGGAGGACGGCGTCAGTGGCGCACCCGCGCCGCGCGGGAACGGCGGCGGCGTGGCGGCCGTCGAGCGCAGCGTGGCGGGCGAGGCGAAGGAGAAGGAGCGCGCGGAGAGCGGGGACGCGCCGACCAGCGACGGGCTGCTGGAGGTGGGCACCACGGAGCGGGAGCCCACCGAGGTGGGGATGGTGGAGAGGTACCACGGCTTGATGGGGTTGTCGGTGGGGGTGACGGAGAACCGCGACGAGGCCGACCCCACGCCGGCCTTCCCCACGACGGCCGCCGCCGCCGCCACCGCCGGCTCGTACCGCAGCGACGCGGTCCGCGGGTACGCCGTGAAGGAGGCGTCCTCCAGCGAGTCCTCGAAGTCCAGGGAGCACACCACTGCCGTCGCCGGCGCCAGCTCCACGAACGGCCGCACTCCCTGCACACACGCCCGCACAACATGCATGCCACTGTTACGTTCATCGAAAAGCTAGGTTGTGTTTTGATCAATGCTTGATTAGTTGATGCAACACGACAGCACAGCACGTACCTTCCAGAGGACGGAGAAGAGGGAGGGCGGGTCGATGACGAAGGCGCGGTGGAGGCGGCCGGGGTAGTAGTCGGCGACGATCTTGAGCGTGCCCATGAGCAGGTTGAGGAAAGCCGACGCCGAGCGGAAAAAGCCTGCGCCGCAAAGAGAGATTCGCATCGTCTCGTCAATCATCGGTCAACCAACCCACTCCTCCCCTCTTTTTCCCCGATTCCACGGCCCGCACTTTCCCGCAGCGAGCTCAATCATTTTTGCTACTCCTACCACACTACTCGATTCAAACCGCACCGGCGGGAAGCCAGCGAGCTGCCGAGGGGAGGAGAAGAACGGCCTCCCCCCAAAGCGGTGTCTGCCACTGTGCAAGCCACGCAAGCAGGTTACCACCCCAAAGCGTTCGCTCGGTCAAGACCCGGGGACCACGCCACGCTCGGAAGCAGCAGCGGCATGGCAACGCCGGCCCGAGCAGACCCGAGGCCGCGGGGGACGACACGAGCCCAGGCCCCAGGTGACCAGGCGTAGAGTCGACGCAGCGCAGCGGCTGGTGCGAGCGCGGGGGACGTGTGTGTGTGTGTCTGACCGTCTGAGAGCAGAGGCTTCACCGAGCCAGGCGCATGTGCGCGTGTGACCGGCGGAGGCGGTACCGCTACCAGACCACCCGCTGCACTGACCGAGAGAGAGTGCCTGGCTCCCTCACTTGCAAGGGAAAAGGCATGCCGACGAATGCGAATGCTGCTTCTCTGCCTTGGTTTTTCTTTCGCTTCTTGAGGAGTAGCGGACAAATACTCCACCAAGAACGAAATGGACTATGGAGCGTAGCGCACGCATTGTATTTTGTATCGGTTCTGATGCTGACAAGGATCGGCGGCTTACTTGCATCGAAGAGGAGGACGAACTGGTCCACGAACCGGGACATGCACGCCACGGCCACCTCCAGCGTGAACACCAGCAGCCGCACGAACCTAATCAAGCAAAGGCAAGTGTAAGAAGCTACTCCGTAGCAGGGAGAGACGGAACGGAGAAAGAGGAAAGCAGGAAGCGTCTGATTTGATGAGTGCTACTACTACAGTAGTTCTTACGATTTCTGCGGGTGGAACTTGGGGTAGTCCTGCCTGATTCGAAACACCTGCAAAACAGAAGCAAATTCCAGTCAGAGCTCATCAGCAGCTTCTGTGAAACTCCAGGAGTATAGCCGCAGACAATCGGCAGGATCTGCGCGTCCCGGAATGGCGTACGTACCACAACTGGGCGGCCGTCGTCGTCGTGGCCGGAGACGAAGGCCACGCCGTCGGCGAGCTCGGCGGAGAACTCGTCGGCCATGATGTGATCTGCTTGGCACAGAGAAAGGCCGGCCCCGTTAGCATCTCCACGAAACGAACGAACAATCATTCCAACAGAATAGCACCAACGAGTGTACTGTTGCGGGGACTGTACTTTGAAAACACTTCCTACTACTAGGAATGAACCAAATCGGCAGCGCAATAAATTCGGCACGGCGGCACAGTAACTTGACTAGAAAACACTGTGCCGTAGGTATCGGCTGCAGGAACAAACACGACTGGGTTAAGTCGACCTCCTTCGACGACCTCCTTTGGCGTTCGATAAAAGCGTGCTTTAAATTTTTCTCCTTAATACGATCTTACGTAAATCTTCTGCGGAGAAAAAAAAAAGAACAGACCACGGCTCGAGCAGAGCATAGCAGCGCAGAGAAGCATTAATGGATCACGACCCAACCACCGCAGATTTCTGCAAGGAAGAAGTAGAGAGGGTCCGAGTGTCCGACACGGAAGGCTCTCGGCAAATGTGGTGCGAAAGCGAGAGGAATGGAAGCTGATGAGCGTACCAGCTCCGACGGTCTCCCTCCATGAGAGGACGGTCCTCAGGTGCTTCGCCGCCTTCTTGACGCTCTCCCCCCGCGACCGCATGAACCGCTCCACGCACGCGTCGTTGCAGTACTGCGCCTGCTCGCCGCCATGGCCAACCAGACAACAAGCTTAGAGAAACGAACGGAGGCAGAGATGGGAGCAAAGCTGATTCTCGGGCATCACCTGCTTCGCGGAGAGCGGCGCCTGCTTGCGCAGCAGCTTGCGAACGGCCTCGATCTTCTCCCTCGCCTTGGCGTCCACCTTGTCGATGGCCATCTCAGCAATTTTTACGAAGAGGAAGAAGAAGAGGAGGTGGGAGTAGAAGAGGGAGTGTGAACGGGGAAGCGGAGTGGCGAGAGAGAACTGAGAGGGAAAGAAGGGGAGTGTCGGAGTGACCGACCGAGAGGAAGAGAGAGAGCATTATAACCCGGGCGGGGTGCCGTTCAAGTCAGGAGCTTGCAGCCGAGAAACGGGAAAAGAACAAACGGCAACGGACGTTTGCTTGCGCATGCATCCACTTTTGCCGGTTTTCTTTTCTTCCACCCCCTCCTCCGTGATTCCAAGCAAAGAACCCATGTCTTGCCCACTTCAAACAGAAAAACACCACGGAAAGAGTTGTGTACATCAGCTGGTAGCTAAATAATAAAGTGTAAAAGCTATCTCTAACAATTCAGTGCTTCTTACACCCAAATAAAGTCAATTTTTAAATTAATATCAGATATAACTGAACAGCTAATAGCGTAGTCTTGCCTTCATATTTTGCGGGTTAAGACCTGGCAAAATGAAACCGGCTCAACTCATCAAGACGAAAAGCAAATGCGGTATATACAGTGTTAAGCAATAAACAACTAGTCTTGTATATTTCTTACACTTATTTCTCAAACCCCTCTCGTATTACATTATATACGAGTTGCTCCTACATAGACTGCAATCTTATTCTTATGACAAATATAAGTATAACATATTCATGGATAAACTAGTACCTACAAATTCAAAATTGCTTAACTTTGTGCATTCCCGTTCGAACACAATACATACATTGATACTCTAAAACACTTTCCTACGTATTAACTAAATGTAAACTACAAACAATTGCAAGTGTTTTGCAAAACATAAATGATCCATAAATCTAAATGTAAACTACCAAACTCTGCTATTACTCACCTACAAACCCAGCGGCTACGGCAAGTGGGTCCCATTTAATATGTGCAACATCCGATCTACTTTTGCAACATTCAGAAAAAACACTTGCAACATACGTCCGAAATAGCTGAAACACCTGCAACATACGTCGGAAACACTTCTAAAACACCAGAAAAAAACTTGAAAACACGTGTAGCCATTGCAAACATTGAAATCTCCAAATGAAAACACTTGCAACATATGTATGAAAACACTTGAAACACTTCCATATATATGCAACATCCAGATCTGCTTTTACAATATCCAGATGGAACGCTTGCAACATAAGTTTGAAACAGATGAAACATTTGAAAGATACGCTTGAAACATACGTGTATAGTCATTGCAACATGTGCAACATCTCGATCTACTTTTGCAACATTGAAATAATATAAAACACTTGCAACGTACCTCTAAAACGTCTGAAACATTTGAAACATACGCTTGCAATATGCGCTTTCAGCGTAATGTCACCTTGCTGCCTGGACGAATGGAGGCACGTCATTGCGGAGCTCAACGCCGGCGCGGAGGTCGGTGGCGGCTGCGGCACGGAGGTAGGCAGCGGCGCGGAGGTCAGTGGCGGCGCATGGAGCTCGCGGCGGCACGGAGGTCAGTAGCGGTGCATGGAGCTCACGGCGGCGCGAAGGTCCAGCGCGGGCATCTCACCGGCGGATGGAGCGCAGTCGCGACAGGAGGCGTGACCCTGAACAGGGGGCTTGCGGTGGGTGGCGCGGGCTTGGGCGTGTTGCACGTGGCGCAAGGGGGAGCGGGGCGGTCCGGTCTGTCCATCTGTATGGACACCCTACATATAGGGAGCATTTCCGTTTGTTTTATCCTACACAACGACAGTGAAGAGATGTTCCATTTATTTGTCGTATGAAGAACTATATGTGTATTAGTATTGTTCTGTAGAAATGTAGAGCTAGCGTCTAAATTAAATTATCAGTATCGGATGCTATAATGTTTCAATTAAAATGTATAGATTTATTTGAAGCAACAACTTATAAAGTTTGCCACAGAGTATTGATTTAATATATTATAACATATATAATGTATTTTATAATTATTAAATTATTTTTTATGATAGCTTATATTGGTATTTAGACATAGATTTGAGGGCTATTTTAACTTTATAACACAAGAGGTGGACAATTTATACACTAATTAAGGAGCCACTTAGTATTATCTTTATAATGGCAAAGCAACTTAAAAGCTTATTTTGTTATTACTACTTTATCTTTTCATAATGATAGAGGTGGTTAATTTAGATGTAAATTTAGGGGTTACATTGCACTATCTTTTATAATGACAACGGTGGTTAATTTAGACGTAAATTTAGGGATTATTTTAAATTATCTTTCATAATGGTAGAGGTAGGTCATTTTAGATGCAAAGTTAGGTGTTTGCTTTATGGATTTTTCGTAATGACAGATGTGGTGTAATTCTAGAAAATAGAATAAATTCAATGGCTATTACTGATGATGATGATTAGAGTCTACCAAATTAAAGGTAAGATGATGTTTCTAATTTATATGACAATTTTTGGGATTTGTCCATTTTTCTTAGGAGGTCTCGTGAAGGTTAACAACCCATTACTTTGTGCTTTATGTATCATCCTTGTCAGACAATTAGCCGAAAAGTTAAACAAGATGGGTGACAATGGCGAGCCGTCACTATTAATTGATGAGGTTTTTATTTGAGAAAAAGAAAAACACATTATTATGCCAATGGAGGCGTGGATCGAGCTGACATGCGTGCACGACCAGGCTTCTACAAGCGACAGTAGTACAATGCTTCGTGCCACTTCGTTTCCTCTGTGCTCTGTGTAACACAACGTCACCGGCATCAGCAAAACGAAGCAGAGAGGCAGCGAAGCCGTGTGCATGCATGCATCGTAGCAAGATCCGGCGTTGGCTCGGGTGTCGCGCTCGCAGCGCAGCGAGCGGACAAACAGACCAAGCAACAAGCATGGCAGCTCATCACTCAGCGCCTGGCATGCATTGCACTGAGCTCGTTCGACTGCGTGACAGAGAGACGTACGTATACGCCGCTGCTGTTGGCACGTGGGGGTTCCCCTTGGCTAACCACCAAAGCTAGCAACAGGCAACCTGTGATCAGAGGGGTGTCCATTAGCGTCTCTGCTTGTCCTTGATTACTGATTAGCTATACGCCTATACTACCTAGCTCACACGCCTGGCCTCTCTCTGCTTGTGATCTCGCGCGGGGCCGGGCCGGGCCGGCTGTGCTGGCGGGTAGGACAGCGAGAGCCTTGACGGCGATGGCAGTCTTGTGTTGGGTTGCAATCATGCACGCAGAGTGTGATCTCGGCTGGCGAGTGGCGACGACGTTCGATCGATCTTCCCGATTGGCATATATATTGGCTTTCGCTGCTACGCACGATGACACTACACAACCAACCACCATTACGCCTTTTTCCGCCTGGGCCTCGTCCGTCCGTACGTCGCTGAGGATCATGTCGTGGCAGCTCGTGTATTATATTTCTCCCATGGTCGTCCATTACTGTCTCCGTGACATTGCCATCTGCTACTGTTTCATCACGAATCTTCGTTGCCATCAGCCATGGTAGCTTGTGCAAGCTAGCAGCGTGCAATGATCAGTTATGCTACGAGTACACTACACTCCAATCAAAACAGGAACGTACGCATGCATTTGTGTGAATTAAGAAGTGCAAGTGTAGGCATTTGTGTACCGCTAATAATAATAAATACAACAAGCTACTGATGTATCAGCTGATAGGCATGATGATTGAACTTGAAATTTATAACCAACAAGTGTTACGTTGCACAAATGATTGCTGGTTGATTGTGATCCGGTGTTTATTTGCAATAATTGTTGCTACTACTTTCCTTTGCTAGTCGTGGCATGAAAGCTTAATTAAGGCAATTGGTTGCGTGCGTCACTACGGGAGGCACGCTCTTTGCTGAGTGCTCGGCGCTTTGCCGAGTGTCGAAACACGGGCACTCGGCAAAGAGGCAGTTTGCCGAGTGCCGCACTCGACAAAGCCGGCACTCAGCAAAGGCCGTCTTTGCCGAGTGCCAAACACTCGGCAAAGAGGGACACTCGGCAAACGTCCTCTTTGCCGAGTGTCAGGCACTCGGCAAAGAATAACCCTCGGCAAAATACCTCAGGCGACGTCGGTGGTGGCCCCTCAGTCATCCTTTGCCGAGTGCTGGCCGTTAGCACTCGGCAAGCCTTGCATCTTTGCCGAAAGTGTGCGGTCGGCAACACTTTCGGCAAAGAGGTTCATTTGCCGAGTGCCAATTCCGACACTCGGCAAAGTATTTTTTTAATTTTTCTGTGGCATTTATACAGTACCTTGAAGCACATGTTCCAATTTGGAACTTTTCTATGACTTTTTGGTATATTATTTAATTTTTTTTTGTTTACTTGAATTTTTCTCGAAAAAGTAAATTTGAACGGTAGGTGCATGAAATATTGAAATTTAGCGATTAAAAAAATGGTATTCATGTTTTTGAGTGTATTTTGAGGCCGTGTGCAGGGACATTCGTGAAATTTCGAACATCTGTTTCACGAAACATGACCACCAACTTGTTAAAAAAGTGTTTTTTAATTATACAAAATGCAAACGAAGTCCGAAAATCACGAAACTTGTTGAGGTGTCGTGTCATCGCATGTAGAGGCTGTGGTAAAAAATTTAGAAGTTTCCGAGCAAGTTGTGACGTACGATGCCTAAAACCCAGACATCTCCACATATGACACAACTTGCTCGGAAACTTCTAAATTTTTTACCACAGCCTCTACATGCGATGACACGACACCTCGACAAGTTTCGTGATTTTCGGACTTCGTTTACATTTTATATAATTAAAAAACACTTTTTTAACAAGTAGATGGTCATGTTTCGTGAAACAGATGTTCGAAATTTCACGAATGTCCCTGCACACGGCCTCAAAATACACTAAAAACATGAACACCATTTTTTTAATCGCTAAATTCTAATATTTCATGCACCTACAGTTCAAATTTACTTTTTTGAGAAAAATTCAAGTAAACATAAAAAATTTAAAAAAATATACAAAAGTGATAGAAAAGTTCCAAATTGGAACATGTGC